GGGTGTCGTGGTGGTCGCAGGCATAGACGCTTTAAAGGGGACTAGACAGATTCACGGGGGAGAGGTCTAGCCGTGGCTACTCGCCGTGGTGACTCAAGGGAGCCTCCATGTTCAGAGGCACTAAGCCTCTGAATCCCAGAGCCAGGAGGCGACTTCAGGGGAAGGCCTCGGCCTCTGTGCCCTGTTCTTGGGCCTCCGGAGGAACTGGCTGGGCACTGTGTGAGGGACGGGATGCTGGACTAGAGGGACCCTCACTGGTCTGATCCAGCCGGGCTCTTCTGAGGTTCTTATCAGGGGAAGGCCTCGGCCTCTCTGCCCTTTTGCTGGCCCTCCAGAGGAACTAGCTGGCCCCTGTGTGAGGCAGGATGCTGGACTAGATGGACCACTGGTCTGATCCAGCAGGGCTCTTCTTAGGTTCTTATCAGAGGAAGGCCTGGGCCTCTCTGCCCTGTTGTTGGCCCTCCAGAGGAACTGACTGGCCCCTGTGTGAGACGGGAGGCTGGAGGGACCCCTGGTCTGACCCAGCAGGGCTCTTCGAATGTTCTTATCAGGGGAAGGCCTCAGCCTCTCTGCCTTGTTGTTGGCCCTCCAGAGGAACTGCTTGGCCCCTGTGTGAGATTGGATGCTGGACTAGATGGACCACTGGCCTGATCCAGAAGGGCTCTTCTGATATTCTCATCAGGGGAAGGCCTCGGCCTCTGTGCCCTGTTCTTGGGCCTCCAGAGGAACTGGCTAGCCCCTGTGTGAGACGGGATGCTGGACTAGAGGGACCCTCACTGGTCTGATCCGGCAGGGCTCCTCTTAGGTTCTTACGTGAGCCAAGCTGTGGTGGAGTGGGAGTGGGAGTACACAGTTGGGTGGGATATCGGGGTAAAGAAACAAAGGGTTAAGGAGCAGAAAGCAGAGTCCAGAGAGGGGACCGGAGGGAAGGGGAGAGACGGGGAGGGAAGTTCCAAGAAAGCCCCCTCACGGACAGAGGGCACGTGGCAGCTGGAGCCAGGGGGAAAGGGAGACCTTCAGGCAGAAGGAACCCCACGGCAGAGACAGAGGAAGGCCGTAGTGAAGAAACCAGCCCAAGGAGTCAGCCGTGGGTGATAGCGAGTGGGGACGCCAATCCGAAGCAAAGCAGAGAGCAGACGGGATCGGGGTTAGGATAGGTATCCGAGGATCAACCGGACGGTCGGTCCATTCCATGTCTGGTCCGGACACTACAGTGGTCCAGGACCTCAAAGGGGTGCGGCTCTTTATCTTGACCCTTCCCCAACACTCGTGTTCAGACCCAGCTGGAAACTCCGGACCCGGTGGGGGGTGGGGTATATGCAGTAGGAGAACCGCACGCCTGCCTTTCCCGCCCACCTGGCCGCGAGGCGTCCAAAGCCGCCGCGTGGACGTTCGACCCTCTCCTCCCTTTCGCACCCACTTGCACGTGCTCGCCGCGGCACTCACTTGTCCAGGGTGTAGCCGTTCTTGCAGGTGCACTGGTAGCCGTGGGGCAGGTCGTTGCAGTTCTGCGTCTCGTTGCAGTCGTGGTGCCCGTTCAGGCACTCGTTCTCCGGGGGGCACGCCATGAAGGCCCAGTCCGCCTCCATGTCGCACAGCTGCGACTGCGCTGCGGGGGTGGGAACACAGGACGGGAGGCCGTGAGAACCACGTGGGGCACGGGTAGCCCGAGGGAAAGGAGACGCTCCCGTGGTTGTCCCCCGCCTAACCCCGGATGAAGGGGAACGCCTTGTCCGCACAGGCCCAAGTTCGGCAGGGGTTGTAGAATTCTCAGATTTTCAGAATAGTCCTATCTTCTATGCCTGGGGAAGGGCAGTTTAATAACAACAGCAGCAACAACAATGCCTTTGCAACAGGGAGCTAGTAGTAGTAGTAGTAGTAGTAATGCCTTTGCAACAGGAAGCTAGTAGTAGTAGTAGTAGTAGTAATTCCTTTGCAACAGGGAGGTGGTAGTCGTCGTCGTAGTAGTAGTAGTATGCCTTTGCAACAGGGAGGTAGTAGTACTAGTACTAGTAGTAATGCCTTTGCAACAGGGAGGTGGTAGTAGTAGTAGTAGCAGTAGTAGTAGTAGTAATGCCTTTGCAACAGGTAATAGTAGTAGTAGTAATGCCTTTGCAACAGGGGGGTGGTATTAGTAGTAGTAGTAGTAGTAATGCCTTTGCAACAGGGAGGTAGTAGTAGTAGTAATGCCTTTGCAACAGGGGTGGTAGTAGTAGTAGTAGTAATGCCTTTGCAACAGGTAGTAGTAGTAGTAGTAATGCCTTTGCAACAGGGATCTGCTGCCCTCGTAAGCGGCAAGTCACATTCCCACTCGTCCTCCTTTCCACCCAAGAAGGTGCCCCAGAAATGCCAGGCCCGGGTTCTGCCGGGTACCTACCATAGTGAGGGTCGCTCAGCCCGCCCTCCATACAGCGCCCTTTGCCGTTCTCGCCCCAGAGGCCGCACCACCCGCATCGGGGCTGCTGGATGCAGAGGGCGCACTGCTGGAACTGGGCGCAGGAAGGGGAACAGCTCTCGGCCCCGCTCAGCACCCGGCCGCACATCCCGGCCGCGCAGCGCATGGGCAGGTACGTGGGGCTCATGCACTGCGGAAGGGAAAAGAGAGACGGTTGGCCCTCACTTGCCAAGGTTAGCCCTCACTTGCCAACGTTAGCCGTCGCTGGCCAATGGGCAGTGAAGGTTTACTCTCCCACACACAAAACACACAGATCTTCACCACGTCCAGGCCCTGGCACCTCCCATTCCAAGGATCAGGTGTCAGTACGTGATGAGAAAGGCCTCAGCCAGAGATCCTGGAGAGCCAGTGACAGAGCAGAGAGAGGCACTGACAGCGTTGTAGAGTGGTAAGAGCGTCAGACTGTTTTATTTACTTACTTTATTCATATCCTGCCTTTCTCCCCAACAGGGACCCAAAGCAACTTACATCCTTCTCCTCTCCTCCATTTCATCTTCACAACAACCCGGTGAGGTAGGTTAGGCTGAGAGCATGTGACTGGTCCAAGGTCACCCAGCTGAGCTTCCATGGCACAACTGGGGATTCGAACCTGGGTCTCCCAAATCCTAGTCTGACTCTCTAACCACTACGCCACATTGGCTCTCACTGGACTAGGACCTGGGAGACCCAGGTTCGAATCCCCACTCTACCATGGAATCTTGCTGGGTGACGCACTCAGCCAAACCTGCCTCGCAGGGTTGTTGTGGGGACTAAAAGGAGGAGAGAAGAATAATCTAAGCAGCCCCAAGTCCTAGTTAAGATGAACGATGGGATATAAATTAAATAAACAAATAATTTTAAAAAGTAATAGTCCGGCTCAGGCTCCAGCAGCTTCGTATGTTCACGGTGCAACCGGAACGAAATTTCGCCAAGCCAGTTTGCACACTCGCATGTTTTAATTTCAGTTTTACGAACCGCTCCCACGTTTTTACGCTCCTTCTCCACCGCCACGGAGGCCTAGAGAACAGCTTTGCCCAAGAAGAACCAAAGCTTCAGGTCCCGGGAACACTGAATTCTGGGTGAGAATTGGAAGACTCTGCCCTGGGGTGGAAAATTCCCACAGAGTGCCAATTCTAGGAAGGGAGACTGTGCTAAGGATGAGACTTCTCCCCCCCTCCTGCCCCCAGTTGTTCTGTGCTGGTCCGGCCCCACTCTCAGCTTCCCTGCTGTCCCTGGGATGGACGAAGAATCCCACGATGCAAAAAGAGCCCTTCTGGACCGTGCCAAAGGTCTGTCCCTCCCAGCACCCTCTTTCCCGCCAAGGCCAGACGGGTGCTGCTTGGAAGCCCCCAACCGGGACACAATAGCAACAATCGCCTCCCACTGCCCACCCCCCAGCAACGGGCATTCTAAGATACACTGCCCCCGAACACGGAGGCTCTGCTGAGCTATCACGGCTGCCTCGAGCGGAAGGGAGGAGACACCTGCTGCAGGCTGACACTCCAGACGCAGTGCTGCCAGCCGCCGTCGGCCCCCTTGGAGCTGAGGCACTCCTCGCAGGTGCTGTGGTTGTGGCAGGGCGTGGGGCAGGCCAGGGGGGGCGAGGACTCCACGGGCATCGGGGAGACGTTGAGGAGGGAGTGGCTGAAGCAGGTCCAGTCGTAGGTGGGCTGGACGCTCAGGATGCGCCGCGTCTCCCCTGCAGGCCGGGGAAGGAGAGAAGCCGCCGGTGAGGGACTGAAGCGCTGGGAGGGGGGGCCTTCAGCCCAGCTTCCCGGGGACACCTGGAGATCTCCTGCTACTGCAGTTGATCTCCAGGCCCCCAAGATCAGTCCCCCTGGAGGAAATGGCCGATGTGGAGGGCGGACTCTACGGCAATATACCCGGCTGACGTCCCTCCCTGCCCCAAATCCCGCCTTCCCCAGGCTCTACCCCCCCCCCCAAAACACCCAGGAGTTTCCCAACCCGGCTCTGGCAACCATACCAGAGGGAAGGCAGGCATCATTTGTGCCGAGGAGAGGCCCGTAGCTACAGTGGGTCTTTTGGGGGGGGGGCCTCTGCCCCCTTTCTGAAAGGCACGGCCCCACAAGAATTTCTCCCGTCAATGCTTTTTTCAATCATTTAAAAACATTTTTGTAAAGGCACGCGCGCCTTTAAGCAGAGTGCGGTGCTGTCGTTGACCGATTCCCGCACTGAGCAAGGGGGTTGGAGTAGGTGACCTCTAGGGCCCCTTCTAACTCTGTGTCAAGAAACCGGTCTCCTTTATGAGCGCTTTTCTGCCTGTTAGCTTTCTTGACTAGAGAAGTCATCACCCCCACCTGCCGGCTTGTGAGCAGAACGGTTGCTTCGGCTGGCAGAAGTGATTAACTTGCAGCAGCTGAGAACTGTCATCTAAAGTGGTCGACAGCTTGCAGTTTGGAGAACTATCCCGGTCACAGTTTTCTGTTGGCTGAATGGCTTTTCTTGCTGCACTGAGAACTCCAGCCCCACCAGAAAGAAAGTCTGCCCCATAAGCCACAAAATCCCAGCTACGGGCCTGGCTGACGGTTTCTTGCATGCCAGTGCTCTTTGCCCCTGCCTGTCCCGCCCTTCAAGCCATGTGCCAGCCCGGCAACTGGCCCTTCCCCATGCATCCCTTGGCCATTCCTGTCCCAGTCAGCAACGCAGACCAAGTGCCGGCCCGGCCCAGCATCCCTTTCCTTGCCCCCTTCCCAAAACCTTCCTTCCCTTCATCCTCTGACACCGCCCTGCCCTTCTGCCCCCTGCACAGCCCCC